GAATCTTCTCCCCCCCCACCTCTGGCTGTACCCCAGCTCTTGTATGCATAAATAAAATAAATCTTGAAGGAAAAAAAAAAAGCCCCCTCCCTGTTGGCACAGTGGGTTAAAGCCCAGCACTATGAAGCTATCTGAAGCCACTGCAGAGTGAGTTTGATTCCCAGCCAGGAGGTGACCCACATGTTGTGGCAGACCTCTCCTGACCTGCCCACTGCTCCCCTCAGCAGTGTATTTCAGTAGTTTCACCTGTTCTGCTCCCCACTATCTCTGGTGAGTCCTCTCACCCCTGTACCTCTGGCCTGCACCCCAGTTCTTGTAAGCACAAATAATAAATAAAATCTTAAACACACACACTGGCCCTAGTAACCAGGAGTTTTGGCTGCAGAAAGACCCAGGTAATGTTTTGTCCCAGCCTTGAGCAGGGAGTCAGGGTCACTCCAGGACAAGCTTAGTGTGAAGTCCCAGGACTAACTTGGCAAGGTTAGCAGAAACTGAGTAGGGCCTTGGCCAAGCTTGGAAGAAAGAAATCTCATCAGCTGCTTTCGTTCTCTATTATCCTTACATAGAAGTCCCATCTCCATCCCACCCCAAGTTCTTTCTCCATTTTGTTTGGCTAACTCTCCATCACCCTATCTTCCCATCTTACAGAGCAAAAGCATAGGCGTTGAGCCCCCAGTTTCTTAACTTCAGCATGATTGACATCTTGGGCCAGATAATTTGTTGTGGGAATTGTCTTGTAGATTGTGCCCAGCAGTAGTGTGTTTAGCAGCTTCCATGGCCCACTAGATATCATTAGCAAGTCTTCCCTCGCACCAGTATGACAACAGATAGCATCTCCAGATATTACAAGGGTCCCCTAGAGGCTCCACCCCAGTTGAGAAACTGGTTTAAACAAAGATGGACTCAAATGTCAGCTCTTACCAACCATGAACTTGATGAAGATACAGCTCTGAGTCTCAATTCCTCATTTGTAATACTGAGGGAGTAATAAATTCATGATTTATTGTTAGAATTTTAAAAAAGGTTTATTTCTTTATACATACAGAACTGGGGTACAGGCCAGAGGTACAGGGGCAGTGAGAGGATTTACCAGGCAGATTGACAAAGTACACTGCTGAGGGGAGCAGCAGGCGAGACAGAAGAGGTCTGCCGTGCCATGTGGGTCACCTCCGGGGCGGGGATCAAACCAGCACTGAAGTGGCTGTGGCCAGCTTGTAGTGCTGCACCCTGCCCCATTGCGCCATCAGGGAGGGCCTCTTGTTGGAATTTTTAAGAAGATATTGTTTGAAAATATCTATCTAGCACAGTCCTGGCCCACTGGCACACAGTTTGTGCAATGTTAGCTTCCTTCACTTCTCTCCTTATCAGATCAGCAAGAGCTAATTGGTGGGGCAGCTGCTGCCTTCCTCCCTCCCTGACTCCTGAAGCTCCAGGAAACTCAGTATTGAAGGAGAATTGTCAATTTGGCTCCAGAATCCCAAAATTCAGGGTACTTGGGATGGGATTCAGGGGGAATTTGGTCATAGAGCTCTCACAGCATTTTACCTCAAGATGTGGCCTGCAGAGTGCTTGTAGATAGCCTGTAGGACTTGTTAAAAATCCAAATTCAGGGCTCTCCCTGGTGGCACAATAGGTTAGGGCAAAGCACTGCAAGCTGGCCATAGCCACTTCAGTGTGAGTTTGATCCCCAGCCCCAGAGGTGGTCCACATGGAGCAGCAGACCTCTCCCCTCAGCAGTGTACTTCGTTGATCTGCCTATTCTGCTCCCCACTCTGTCTCTGGTGAATCCTCTCACCGCCCCTGCACCTCTGGCCTGTACCCCAGTTCTGTATGTGTAAAGAAATAAAATCTTTTAAAAAATTCCAAATTCTCAGATCTCACTCCAGGCTGCTGAAGCAAAAATATACTATATGAAAACTACTATTTTTTTAAAAAGATTTATTTATTTATGCATATAGAACGGGGGTATAGGCCAGAGATGTGGATGGTGAGAGGATTCACCTGAGACAGAGGGGAGCAGAACAGGCAAATCGATGAAGTACACTGCTGAGGGGAGCAGTGGGCAGGTCAGGAGAGGTCTGCTGCGCCGTGTGGTCACCTCCGGGGCAGGCCAGGCGGCAATCAGGAATCCAACTCATGCGGAAGTGGCTTAAGCTCCTAAGTACTGTGCTTTAACCCGCTGCACCACCAGGGAGGGTCGAATTTTAGGGCTCATATTGGGGAAGGTAGCAGTGCTTCAGAAATCTCAGTGTACCAGTGCCCAGCAAACATACCCCTACTGAAGAGCAGGGAAGAGGGGCCTCCTTGGTGGCACATGGGTTAAAGTCTCAGTGCTATCACTCTGTTGCCAGCCACTACAGAATCAGTTAGATCCCGGGCTGGGGAGCTAACCTATTTGGCACAGCAGACCTCTCCTATCTTAGCCCACTACTCCCCTGGGTAGTGTACTTCAGTGGATCTGCCTGTTCTGTTCCCTGCTCTATTCCTGATGAATCTTCTCACCTCCTTCCCCACTCCCTAGACCTCTGACCTATGCCCCAGTGTTCTCATATGCACAAATAAATAAAATAAAATTTAAAAATATTCTCATATTAAATAGTTAAATCTATTAATAAAAAAAGACAGAAAGAATGTAAGAAGATAGGTGAGTTACCCTCAAGGTCATTGCTGCATTATAAACCAAAACCACTAGAGGGCAGGGCACAAACAGACTTGCGGAAAGAAAAGGGAGTGTTCAATCTAGGTAAATTTAGAACAGAGCAAGGACTAGCTAGACACAATTTTATTAGTACTAAGAAGCAGACTTACCTCCTGACCATCAAAATCTGTTCCTCTGGCCTCAGGTACTCAGACCAAAGTTGGGGGTGCAAGCTTGTCAAGAGACACCTCATTTCCCAAAAGAAAAAAATTGCATGACTGAAAAGTACAAAAAACATTGCTTTTAGAATGAGATAGACAGGGATTTGCATCTTGGATTTACTGCTTGGGAAGCTTACCTAAGATTGTCAGCTATACAATATTTTCTTCAAAGGGTTGTGGTGAGGATTAAAACAAAACAAAGTATACTACCTGTTTGTGTCTATGCAGGTATCTCTTTCTTAAACCTATTCCTTTCAAAGTGCAGCTCTCTTGCCTGCCTGTGTTTATGAAGATCACTGGGCTGTCCTTGGTGGCCAATGGATTAAAGTGCAGTACTACAAAGCTGAAGCTATCAGCAGTCGCTTCTGCAGAATTTTGATCCCCAGCCTGGGAGGTGACCCATATGGCACAGCAGACCTCTCCTGTCTCATCCACTGCTCCCCTCAGCAGTGTATTTCTGTTGATCTGCCTGTTCTGCTCCCCACTGTCTCTGTGAATCCTCTCAACCTGCCCCCTGTACCCCAGTTCTGTATTCATAAATAATTTTTTTAATGCAGCTCATTGCCTGCTTGTGTCTTTCCTTTACTCCTTTCCCTAATAAACTTGCCATGTACTGATGAAACAAAGTAAAACAAAAAACAAGTTATGCAAAGTGCTTAGCCTTGCTCCTAGGCAGTGCTCTGGTAAATGTGCTTGTAAATTACTGCCCAAAGTCATATGACCAAGTACTATCAGGGTTTCACTTACCCATTCAAAAAAGAAGTGGAAGGAATTGAATTGTGGATGAGCCATTTCAGTCTTCTTTCTAAAAGACTGTTTTTTCTGAAGTACCTTTATATAATGCTTGAACTACAACACCCAACTCCCACATGTGGCAAACTTCAGAAAACAGAGCCAGTGCGCCCTCCCTGGTGGTGCAAAGGGTTAGAAAGCAGCACTGCAAGCTAGCCTCAGCCACTTCAGTGCCAGGTCGATCCCCCCCAGAGAGGTGACCCACACCGTGCGGCAGACCTCTCCTGACCCGCCCGCTGCTCCCCTCAGCAGTGTACTTTGTCAATCTGCCTGTTCTGCTCCCCATTCTGTCTCTGGTGAAGCCTCTCACCGCCCCTTTACCTCTGGCTTGTACCTCAGTTCTGTTTGCATACATAAATAAATCTTAAAAAAACAAACAAAACAAAATGAAAAACAGAGCAGTGGCTTCACGGCAGGCAATCGCCTATCTGTCCTACCAGAACCGAGACCCCCTTAAAGGTGGCAAGTATTTTGATGCCAGCATTCTGGTTTCAGCTCTCTGTCCTGAGCTGCACCTGTGCCCTAGCCACCGTGGCAGCTGCCAGACTCCCGACCACAGCAGGCAGTCTCTGTGGCAAAGCTGAGATATATTTTTCATAAGGAAGTCTTGGGAGAACATTTCCTTCCAAGAACTCCAGGCCCCTCTGATCACCCAGATTAAAACAAACAAACAAACAAAAAATTTATTTAAAGACTTAGTGGCAGTTAGAAGGAAGTGCTCCAGGGCAGAAAGTCTGTGCACTGGGTCTTGCCACTTGGGCAAACCACTTAGTGGACCTTGGTTAGAGAAATGCAAACAACACTAATCGTTCCCCTTATCTCAAAGAATGGTGTGAGGCAAATGCAATGATATTGTTGAAATGTTTTGGAATATTCAAAATTGCTTCTTTGGGAAGGCAGCAGGTAGGCGCTAGAAGGAAGTCAAAAGTCCCGCCTCTGCTCTACAGGTGCTAACGCATTCCCGGTCGGACCCCAGATTTCTTAGCTGTAAAAAGATGAGCATCAGCCCACTAAAGGATCTCTGGGCAAAGCCTCCCTACATCCACATTGTGAAGCCTGGAGGGAGAAGCGGGGAGGGGAGAGGAAATCTTGCAGGGTGCTCAACATCGCCCTTTGCTGACTGGAAGGAAGCGAAGCGGCCACAGGCCGGAGCCGAGCGCAGGGAGGGAAGCGCTGAGGCAGCCGGGCGGTGGCGGCCGCGGCGGTGGCGCGGGCGGGAGGCGGGGTCCGGCCCGCCCCTTCCATCCACGTGCGGTTGTTTCCGTGCCGGGAGATCACGTGAGCAGCATCAGCTGACCCGTCACGGTGGAGCCTGGCGCTGGCGCCCTACAGCCCCAGCCCCGCCGCGCCGGAGCGCCCGAGCCTGCGGAGGGGTAAGAGCGCCCCTGGCCTCCCCTACTGTGTCCCCGGGCCCGGCCTGCCACCTCAGCCCCGGCCCAGCCCCTCGCCCTTCCCCACCCGCCAGGCCTGGCATCCCGGAAGCCATCGGGAGGAGGACCGGGGCTGGGCTCTGCCCTGCGCTGCCCCCAGGCGGCCAGGAGGGGATGACCCGGGGGAGCCGGGGGCGGGAAGTCGCTCCTACCACCCCGGCGGAGGGCTGCTCTCCGCCCCCAAGCCCGGACATGGAGGAGCTGCTCCGGAGCGTGGAGAGGGACCTGAACATCGACCCCCGGCAGCTGGCTCCGGCTCCGGGGGGCACCCACGTGGTGGCCCTGGTGCCCGCGCGCTGGCTGGCCAGCCTCCGCGAGCGCCGGCTGCCCCTGGGACCCTGCCCCCGGGCAGAGGGCCTTGGCGAAGCGGAAGTCAGGACTCTCCTGCAGCGCTCGGTGCAGAGGCTTCCCCCAGGCTGGACGCGCGTGGAGGTGCATGGGCTGCGGAAACGGAGGCTGTCTTACCCGCTGGGCCGCGGCCTCCCCTTTGAGGAGGGGTCCTGTAGCCCTGAGACCCTCACTCGCTTCATGCAGGATGTGGCTGCTCAGAATTATCGAAACCTGTGGCACCATGCATATCATACTTACGGGCGGCCCTACAGGCACAGCCCTACCCCTTCAGTGGTCCCTGCTCTGGAGTCTGTCCGGCAGGCTCTGCAGAGGGTCTATGGTTGCTCCTTCCTGCCAGTGGGTGAAGCCAGCCAGTGCCCATCATATGCCAGAGATGGTCCCTGTCCCCCTCGAAGCAGCCCTGCCTGTCCCAGTCTTCTGCGAGCAGAGGCCCTGCTGGAGTCTCCAGAGATGCTCTACGTGGTTCATCCTTATGTGCAGTTCTCCCTGCACGATGTGGTCACCTTCAGCCCTGCCAAGCTGACCAACAGCCAAGCCAAGGTGCTGTTCATTCTCTTCCGTGTACTGAGGGCCATGGATGCCTGTCACCGCCAGGGGCTGGCCTGTGGGGCCCTGTCTTTGCACCATATCGCTGTGGATGAGAAGCTTTGCAGTGAGCTCCGGCTGGACTTGAGTGCTTATGAGACACCCAAGGATGATGATGAGGACATTCCTGTGGCAAGGGGTGAGGTAGGCATTGAGCCTGCAGAGAAGGGAGGAGGGGGACTTGAATGTCCCACCTGTCAGGAGGAACTTAGAGGCCTTGTGCTAGACTGGGTTCATGGTCGCATCAGCAACTTCCACTACCTCATGCAGCTGAATAGGTTGGCAGGTCGACGACAGGGGGACCCCAACTACCACCCAGTGCTGCCCTGGGTGGTGGACTTCACCACTCCCCACGGGCGCTTCCGGGACCTGCGTAAGTCCAAGTTCCGCCTCAACAAGGGGGATAAGCAGCTGGACTTCACGTATGAGATGACACGGCAGGCGTTTGTGGCAGGTGGTGCGGGCGGTGGGGAGCCACCTCATGTTCCTCACCACATCTCAGATGTACTCTCTGACATCACCTATTACGTGTACAAGGCTCGGCGCACGCCCCGGTCTGTGCTCTGTGGACATGTGCGGGCGCAGTGGGAACCCCATGAGTATCCTGCTAGTATGGAGCGTATGCAGAACTGGACCCCCGATGAGTGCATCCCCGAGTTTTATACTGACCCCTCTATCTTCTGCTCCATCCACCCTGACATGCCTGATCTGGATGTGCCGGCGTGGTGTGGCTCCAGCCAGGAGTTTGTGGCTGCCCACCGGGCATTGCTAGAGAGCCGTGAGGTATCCCAGGACCTGCATCACTGGATTGACCTCACTTTCGGCTACAAACTCCAGGGCAAGGAGGCTGTGAAGGAGAAGAATGTGTGTCTGCACCTTGTGGATGGCCACACACACCTGACCAGCTATGGTGTGGTGCAACTTTTCGATCAGCCACACCCCCAGCGCTTGGCGGGGGCTTCTACTCTTGCCCCTGAGCCTCCACTCATTCCCAGGCTGTTATTCCAGACCATCCAGGAGAGCACAGGTCGGGAGGATTTCCCAGGACAGCTGACAAATGGGGTAGGCAGGCTGGTTTTGGAGGCCACTCCCTGTGAGGCTGGCTGGACCAGAGACAGGCCCGTGGCAGGGGAAGATGACTTGGAGCAGGCTACAGAAGCGCTGGATTCCATCCCTCCGGCTGGAAAAGCAGGGGACCAATTGGGCTCCTCCTCCAGCCAGGCCCCCCCAGGCCTTTTGTCTTTCTCAGTGGCCTCAGCCTCCCGTCCAAGCCGCAGGAACAAAGTTGCTGGGCCAGACCCTGGGGAAGGAGAGGAGGGTAAGATTCTTCTTCCTGAGGGCTTCAATCCTGTGCAGGCTCTGGAAGAGCTGGAGAAACTTGGCAACTTCTTGACCAAAGGTCTTGGGGGCAGAATGGAGATGGCCAAGCAGCCCCAGGCCCAGCCACCTGTGCAGCTGCGGGACCTTTTCTATCGGGACATGCAGGCACTGGGCGTCCTATTGGCTGAGATGATATTTGCGACCAGGGTCCGAACACTGCAGCCGGATGCACCTTTGTGGGTACGCTTTGAGGCTGTCCGGGGGCTCTGTGTACGCCATCTCAAGGAGGTGCCTGTGTCTCTGCAGCCTGTGCTGGACGTGCTCCTGCAGTTGAGTGGACCTGAAAGCCCTGCAGTAGTGGGGAGGGGCAAGCTGGACCCTTTATTTGAGTATAAGCCTGTCTCCCAGGGGCTGCCCCCGCCCTGCCCGGCCCAGCTGCTGAGCCCCTTCAGCTCTGTGGTTCCCTTCCCTCCATATTTCCCAGCGCTGCACAAGTTCATCCTCCTGTACCAGGCGAGGCAAGTGGAAGATGAGGTCCAGGGGCGGGAGCTGGTCTTTGCTCTGTGGCAGCAACTGGGTGCAGTGTTGAGTGATATCACCCCCGAGGGCCTGGAGATCCTGTTGCCCTTCGTGCTGTCCCTCATGTCCGAGCAGCACACGGCTGTGTACACAGCCTGGTACCTATTTGAACCTGTCGCCAAGGCCCTGGGACCCAAAAATGCTAATAAATACCTACTGAAGCCTCTCATTGGTGCCTACGAGAGCCCCTGCCGGCTACACGGCCGCTTCTACCTGTATACTGACTGCTTTGTGGCCCAGCTGATGGTGCGGCTGGGCCTGCAGGCCTTTCTCATTCACCTGCTGCCCCATGTCCTGCAGGTGCTGGCTGGGGTGGAGACTTCCCAGGAGGAAAGCAAGGGCCTGGTGGGAACTGCTGAGGATGAGGAAAGTGGGCTCCCAGGGGCCAGGCCCAGCTCCTGTGCTTTTGGGGAAGAGATTCAGATGGATGGGGAGCCTGCTGCCTCCTCAGGCCTGGACCTCCCAGACTATACGTCTGGCGTCAGCTTCCATGACCAGGTTGACCTCCCAGAAACAGAGGACTTCCAAGCTGGGCTGTATGTGGCTGAGTCTCCGCAGCCCCAGGAAGCTGAGGCTGTGAGTCTTGGCCGGCTGAGCGACAAGAGCAGCACCAGCGAGGCCTCCCTGGGTGAGGAGAGGGCAGCTGATGAAGGCGGTGCCCCTGTGGACAAGAGTAGCCTCAGGTCAGGTGACAGCTGCCAAGACTTGAAGCAAAGCGAGGGCTCAGAGGAAGACGAGGAGGAGGAAGGCTGTGTGGTGTTGGAAGAAGAGGAGGCGGAGCAAGATGAAGTCACGGGGGCCTCTGAGATCACGCTGTCCGACACCGTGCTCTCCATGGATACGGTGGTTTCTGGTGGCAGCGGGGCGGACCAGGAGGGAGAAGAGGAGCCGCTGACAGAGCAGTCGGAGGGCAAAGAACAGAAGATCCTCCTTGGTGAGTTCCCAGTCTGGGGATGTCAGTCAGATGGTCATCTGGTTTTCATTCAGCCTTTGCTGAATACCTACTCTGTGCCAAGCAGTGATGGAGCCAGTCCACATGCAGCAGAAATGAGGGCCTCCCTCTTTGGAGCACATGTCTAGCAGAACAGAGGCCATATTGTAGACTATCTTACATAACCACAAGTTACAGTATGTTCGTGCCACAAAGAATGTGACTGAGTGCTACAAAGAAATATAAGATGGGACTCACATCTGGTTTTCAGGGGTCAGCGGCTTCTTGAAAATAGGGCCAGTTGAGGTTCAGTAAGTAGAAGAGAGCTAGGCAAAGGCAGGACCTTCGGCGGAAGAGCATTCCAGCCAGTGGGAACAGCTCTTGTGAGGCTATGAGCTTGTCATGGTTCTTTTAACGAATCGGTGACAAGCCAGCGTGGCTAAACAGAAGATGGAGGGGAAAGGAGGGGAATAGGACAGGCAGAGATAGCCAGGGTGCAGGTAGGCCTCATTTAGGAGTTGGGAAAGAGTCACTAAAGAGATAAGTTGTGTCTGAGGAGTGAAATTGGTGCACCACAAAGTGAGAGTCCCACAGGCAGGCTCTGCACTGTTAAGTGGGCAGTAGTGTGGCATGACCCCCTTAGGCAGGTGACCTTCTCCTTGGCAGGGCTGCAGCCATAGTTGGTGCTGTGGGCTGGGGTGGTGGGGGAGGCGAGCCAGCCGTTATCTGATGAGCTCAAGACTTGCTCCTGCTCCGCAGATACAGCCTGCAAGATGGTCCGCTGGCTGTCCGCCAAGCTTGGCCCCACGGTGGCTTCTCGCCACGTGGCCCGGAACCTGCTCCGCCTGTTGACATCTTGTTATGTTGGTAAGGCCCGTGACCGCAGCCGGAGAGGGGCCTCTTAGATCCTCTAGAGGCCCACCTTTGCCCACTCCCACCTCAGGTCACTTCCCAGCGGCTCCTGGGTCCCAGTCTGTGAGCTCCTTCTGGGGGGAGGGTGCGGAGCAGCCCCGAGGCAAGCTGAACCGGTGGCTCCCAGAAGGCCAACCTCCCTCTTCCAGCTACTCAGGCTGCTGGTTCTTCCTTGGCAGGGCCCACTCGGCAGCAGTTCACGGTGAGCAGTGGTGAGAGCCCCCCGCTGAGTGCTGGCAACATCTACCAGAAGAGACCCGTACTGGGCGATGTCGTGTCAGGACCCGTGCTCAGCTGCCTCCTCCATATCGCCTATCTGTACGGGGAGCCGGTTCTCACCTACCAGTACCTGCCCTACATCAGCTACCTGGTCAGTTACCAAGTTGGCCAGGAGGCTGAGGAGCTCAGGCCGGCGGGGTTCTCAGAGGCGGCCTGGCCCTCACTTACTCTGTGATCCTAGGTGGCCCTGGGTGGAACCTCAGGCCCCACTCGACTGAACAGCCGGAAGGAGGCTGGGCTGCTGGCAGCGGTGACTCTGACCCAGAAGATCATCGTCTACCTCTCAGACACTACCCTCATGGACATCCTGCCCCGTATCAGCCATGAGGTCTTGCTGCCCGTGCTCAGCTTCCTCACTTCCCTCGTCACTGGGTAGGCCGCTGCCCCACTTCTGTGGGGGGAGCATCCCTGCTGCGGATGCTACCCAGAAGGGTTGGGAAGCTTGGCGGGGGAGTCCATTGGCAGCAGGCGGGGTGTCCGGAGTCCTGGTTCTGATCACAGCTGTGTTACCCTTAGCAAGCCACGCCTTTCTGCACCTGTTTCCTCACCTGGTGTGAGCCAGTTGGTCCTGTAACTCATTTCATTTATAGATTCTGGGTCATCCCACAGAGTGGGGACCAGAGCTCATAAGCTCTGTTTGTAGGTTTCCGAGTGGGGCCCAGGCCCGGACTGTTCTGTGTGTAAAAACCATCAGCCTCATTGCGCTCATCTGCCTGCGCATTGGGCAGGAGATGGTCCAGCAGCACCTGAGTGAGCCGGTGGCTACCTTCTTTCAAGTCTTCTCTCAGCTGCATGAGCTTCGGCACCGAGTGGGTATACCTTCCTGGCTGGGGAGGCTGGCCGGGGGCTACGGCTGACTGTGGACTGACTCCCTGGCTTCCTGGACACAGGATCTGAAGCTGGATCCCACAGGCCGAGGTGAGGGCCAGCTGCCGGAGGTCACCTTCTCTGACGGGCAGCAGCGGCTGGTGGACCCTTCCCTGCTGGACGAGCTGCAGAAGGTGTTCACCTTGGAGATGGCATACATGATCTACGTGCCCTTCTCCTGCCTGCTGGGTACTGCCCCATCATGTTCTGTCCCACAGCTTTTGTATCTTTGTCTCTTCCCTGGGGAGGGCCCCGCGTTCCCCCAGCCCCAGCGTCAGTTGAGGGTGTTAAGCAAAGCCTTATGGGTCTAAGCAAGGGGATTTGGCCTCAGATCCCAAATCCCACGCTGATAAATATATATCAGGAACTGAGAATTAGCCAGCAAGGAGGCTAGTGTGCCCCCGGGGCAGCAGAGAAGTCGGGCCGAGGCACCTGTGACTCCAGCAGCTGTCTGAGAGGGGTGAGTGGCCCGCCGTTACGTAGCTGCCCAGGCCAGCCACCACGTTGTGGTCTTGACACCTCCCTCTGGTTAGGGGTGCTGTCTTCCCTCCATTGAAATCTAAACTGGGAGTGAGAGCACACTCGTCTGCCATTCTGTTTCTAATGCCTAGCACAGCACTATGTACATACTGAGTGAATCCACATTTAACGGGGGAGGAAGCAGAGGCTCAGAGATGAAGCTTCACTTGCCCAGAGTTGCACAGCCAAGACCTGCGTTGACTTTTGTGGTTCCCTTGAGTGGGGGGGTGGAGGGTGGCAGCTGCCTACCATCTTTCCTAATCTTAGGACCTCTCCTGATCCCACACAGGTGACATCATCCGGAAGATCATTCCCAACCATGAGCTAGTTGGGGAGCTGGCGGGGATGTATTTGGAGAGCATCAGCCCTAGCGGTCGTAATCCCGCCAGTGTGGAGCCCGCTGTGCCCAGCACCAGCTCTGAGTGGGACTCCCAGGGTGGGGACTGCACCCAGGATGATAGTCACTCAGGGACCTTTGGGAGTGTCCTCGTGGGGAACCGGATCCAGATCCCCGACGACTCTCAGCCTGAGAGCCCTGGCCCGCTGGGCCCCATCCCCGGGGTGGGCAGTGGGGGCCTCAGCAGTGAGAGCGAGGACAATGCGCTGAAGCGGGAGCTGCCCCGGAGCACCCATGGGCTGAGCGGAAACTGGCTGGCATACTGGCAGTACGAGATTGGTGTGAGCCAGCAGGACGCCCACTTTCACTTCCACCAGATCCGCCTACAGAGCTTCCCAGGCCACCTGGGGGCTGTCAAGTGCGTGGCACCCTTGAGTGGTGAGGACTTCTTCCTGAGTGGCAGCAAGGACCGCACTGTGCGCCTCTGGCCACTCTACAATTCTGGGGATGGCACCAGTGAGACGGCGCCACGCCTCATCTACGCCCAGCACCGCAAGAGCGTCTTCTTCGTGGGCCAGCTCGAGGCCCCACAGTGTGTGGTGAGCTGTGACGGGGCTTTGCACGTCTGGGACCCCTTCACAGGTGAGCGGGCCCAGGTGAGGCCTGTTCTGTTGCCATCCTGTGCCCTGCCTGGCCTCTGGGAAGGGGTCCAAGGATGGGAGGGCGAGGGTGTAATAGAACGTGGTTTGGGGCAACCCACTGAGGCTGCACAGAGGGGCAGTTAGGGCTTGGACTCCGTTAGACCCGAGTCTGAATCCACTCTGCCAAGTTACTTACTAAGTGACCTTGAGTGTGTCACTTTGCCACTGGAAGCATCAAGTTTCCCATCTGCAAAGTGGGCATCAGAACACTGATTTGGAAGCTATGCATGTAGGGATTTAGCTTAGCACGTAGTATGTAACATGTTTGGCAAATGACTGCTTGATTATTTTTTGACCTCGTGATAGGAAGAAATAAGGTTAAAAGTGGGGAGGGGATGGGGGAATACTGAGATAGATAAGAGATGGTTGCTCTAGGACAGGAGCCTGACCTCGCCTGTCCCACAGTGATGGGAGGAAACACCATGAACATTATCTAAGATCTGGGATCTGTAAGGCAGGTATTGGGCAGGTTGGGAGAACAGGAGGCATTGGGGTTCAGCTTCTGGGACCCAGACCCACTGCACCTTTTCTTCCCAGGGAAGACCATTCGCACGGTGGAGCCATCGGACAGTCGGATGCCCCTGACTGCTGTGGCTGTCATGCCCGCCCCCCACACCAGTATCACCATGGCCAGCTCTGACTCAACCCTGCGCTTTGTGGATTGCAGGAAGCCCGGCCTGCAGGTCAGGGGCGTCTGGTTCCCTGAACCCTTCCTTGCCTGGGTACCCAGCAGGGAGGAGAGGCACTGAGATAGAAAGCTACACCTCGTTTCTCTTTGGAGACAGACCCCACACAGCAGGAGCACACAGCATTTCCCATTTTGGGAAATGGGACTCTGGCCTGTGGTTCAGAAAGCCCTCCCCTCCATGGGGGACAAAGGCTCAGGCCTTGCCGCTGCTACGTGGACTTGGGGGGTGAGCAGGACCACAGGGAGGAGCAGGTTAGAGCAGGCGGTGGCACCTCAGCAGAATCCCTCTATTACAGCATGAGTTCCGCCTGGGTGGCGGGCTGAACCCTGGGCTTGTTCGCTCCCTGGCCGTCAGCCCCAGTGGTCGTAGTGTCGTGGCCGGCTTCTCCTCGGGCTTCATGGTGCTCCTGGACACCCGCACAGGCCTGGTTCTTCGAGGATGGCCAGCCCATGAAGGAGACATCCTACAAATCAAGGTGACAGGCCAGTTCCCCTCCCCTCCTCTGAACTCCAGGCCCTCTCCTCTCCTTACGGCCCACCCAGTACAGGCTCAAGCTGATCTCCCCAAGGACCGATAGGCAGGGAGGGTCAGGAATCACCTGCACTTCAGGGGCCTCGACAGGAGGCAGGCCCCAGGGGCGGCAACCAGGGGGCTGAGTTGACCCTGCTGCTCCCTGGAGATGTTCTAATGAGTAACCCTTGTCCATATTTGTCTTGCTTGGAGGATCAGGGGTCGGGCCCTGTCCATGACCCAGTTCAGGTTAAATAAAGCTCAGCTGGTGCCTGTTTACTGCTCCAGACCACTGAGCAGAGTCCATGCCCCATGAGGGACTGCCCTGGTGGGGGCAGGGACAGGTCAGACATGGGGATGCCCCTACCCATACCCCATTTTCAGTCACAGACCTTGGGAGACCACTCTGGGAGGCAAAGGAGGGGAGGAACAGGCCCACTTGCAGGGAGACTGTTCCAAGCAACAGGGATTCTCCTTCCATCCTTAATGGTGGCCAGGTGACATGACCTGTCCCTGCTGGGGGCATGCTACCTTGGCGCCCCAGGGGTCCTGGGTTCCAGGTGTCTCTAAGTTCCAAGAAAGTGGCAGAAGGGCGCTGGGGTCAGCCTGGGTGTTAATCCTGGCAGTATCACTCACTGACTCTGACCTTGGTGTGATTGCTTAACTTCAAATTGGGAACGATGACAGCATCTACCTGATAGTTGTCATGAAGATTAAATGTGGCTATCGGCACGCCTGACACCATGCCTGAACATAGTAAGAGCTCAGGTTATGTGATGGCTGGGTTAATGACACTTCAGCATGCTCGTATCAACTATCGGCAGTGCCACGCCGTGGGGTGGCAGCCTCTGGCTCACAGAGGACACCCTGTCATCCTGGGATATGTTGTGGGAGGAAACAGAACACCCTGGGGCTTGGTGGTCCTATGGGAGGGTACAAGCCCCACTGAGACTCTCCTCTCCCTGGGCAGGCAGTGGAGGGCAGCGTCCTGGTCAGTTCCTCCTCCGACCATTCTTTGACCGTATGGAAGGAGCTGGAGCAGAAGCCGACACACCACTACAAGTCAGCATCTGATCCGATCCACACCTTCGACCTGTATGGCAGCGAAGTGGTGACTGGCACGGTGGCCAACAAGATCGGCGTCTGCTCTCTGCTTGAGCCCCCCTCCCAGGCCACCACCAAGCTCAGCTCTGAGAATTTCCGGGGCACGCTTACCAGCCTGGCCTTGCTGCCCACCAAACGCCACCTCCTGCTGGGCTCGGACAATGGGGTCATCCGCCTCCTGGCATAGGCTGAGGGGGGAGCGGCCAGGGAGGGTCAGCAGACATCCCCTGGAAGTCCATCCTTCTACCCTCATTTCCCCCAGCAGCTCCTTCTACGAAAACCTCAGGCCCTTGCCCCGTTCACCCATGGTCTGCCAGCTGGGGTTGGAGCCAGGGTCCAGTCACCTGAACCCCCCAGGCCTACCAAGGCTACCAGAAGGGGTCTCATTGATGAATTGGGGATTTGCTGTTCCTAGCCATCAGGAAGCAAGAGGAAGAGTGTGGAGAAGCATCGCAGTCCTCTTCTCCTCTTTGAGTCAACATGGTGATGGGGAAGCTCTAGGAAAAAGAAGGGAGGCTGGCCCTGCCCAGCCAGTCTCCAGCCAGGGCCTCCCCCGCCCCCTTATTGGACTCCCTCTGCCCGTGTTTCACAAGGACAGGGAAGATGCCCCAGTCCAGGACACTGATGGTGCTTGGACTCCAGCCTCTAAGAAGGGCTGGTCACGGTCCAGGAGGTAAGAGCCTTGGACTGGGGTTTAAGTGTCCATTCAGCCAGGCCTTCGCTGGTGTGGGTCTAGTAGAGGAAGCAAGAGGGAAGGACCAAGGGAAGGAAGATGGATGGGCCAGCTGGTGCCTGCCAGGATGACCCCATGCCTTGCCTGTCACTCCTAACCACAGTGTTTGTGCCTTGAGCTGAGGAGGCAGCCCCTGGGCCCTGTAACCCTGGGAGGTCATCTCGACCCTGAAAGAAGGGTTGAGAAGAATCATCTCTGCATCTCAGGTCTCTCCCAGAGAATAGGAAGACCCGGGCATTCCTGGGTCCTCACATTCTACAGCAGAGATGAGGTCTTTGACTGGGCCCCTGCTGCCTCCTCACTATTTGCAATAGATGTAAATATAACCAATAAATCCTTTGGAAGAGCCATGGAACCGAATGAGGCCTTTCTTGGTGGTGGTGTCAGGGTTGGGGACAGTTGTTACCTAGCAGCTTCCAGAGCAGTGAGGAGCAGGGCAGGAAGATGAGGAGGTGGCCTGATGGGTGCTTTTCAGGCAATACAGGTGCAAGGTTTTTGGTTTTTGCAGCTACAGCCATGGTCTGAGCCCTCACTCTTGGGCAGGTACAGAGGCACCATTCCTAGTGAGGAGGCTGCAGGGACAGGCCAAGTCCCTAGGCATTCCTCTTCCCACCTGGTCAGAGACAGCCAGCCAGGATCCTGGGCTTGTAGGGCTTGGAGACCGGCATCCAATCTCTGCATAGCTCCCTGTAGTTTTCCTTTCTCTCCCCTTGGGAGGGGAATGCAACTATGGGGGAGAAAAGGATATTAGAAGTAGGATCTGGATATGATTCTGAGCTCCACTGTGCCCTTGGGCAGGTCATGTGGCCTCTGGGAGCCTAACTAACCCCACCTCGTGAGGTCACCAGGAGGCTTGCAATAGTGCCAGCCCCCTGTCCTTCCTGGCCCTGGCTTTCACCAGAGGACAGCTTCTTCAGGTGTCTCTAGGCTCAGGTGAGACCAAGTCCATGGTGTCCAGGTGGCTCTCTCAGGACTAGGTGCCCTGGTGGGAAAGGGGCTTCTGGCCCCAATATCAATGTTTAACCGGATGTGCAGGTCAATATTTACCAGAAGAGAGGCAATCTGAACAGGGGTTGGCTGAGAGCAAAGGTCCTGGTGGGAGGGGAGGGCTCGGCTGGGCAGGCTGGAGTGTGGACAGTGTGGGTAGCATCCAAGCAGAGCCAGAGGAACATCGTGTGCGGCCGCAAGGAGCCTGTAGAGGTACGAGGGAGGGGCGGCTCTACCTGCCTCTTGGGCTGGAGAGAAGGTAGGGAGCTATCCTCCTGGCTGAGGGGATCTGGGCTGAGTCTGGAGGATGGAGCCATGAGGAACCAAGGGGGGGATTCTGTGGGGAGTCTCTGGGGCTTGAAAAACTGGAGGCCTTTTTCTGCCAGAAAGATTCAGAAGTCCAGGTGGGAGCTCAAGGTGCTGGCCAAGTCTCCTTATGTGTGATGAGGATGGCGCCAGGGGTGATAGGAGCACCCTCCTGAAGGACTGCCCTGACATGGAGTGGGGTGGGGGTGTGAGACCTGCTCCAGGCTGACCCGGCCTGCCCGTCCCCACCAGCCTGACTTCCCGGAGCTGGCCTGAGCGGAATTGGGGGCGAGGCTGTGCTTCCCGAAAGTCCAAAGGTGGCGCTGGCCCCAGTCATTCATTGGGTTCTGCGGCCAGGTCAACGAGATGGCTCTCTGCCCACCCCCCAGCCCCTGTGATCTCAAACCAGCCTGAAGAGGCTGAAGGGCTGATTGGATTAGGCGCTCTGGGAAGGGAGCCCTGTGTGGAGGGGCCTCGGAGCACGTTTCCCAGAAGAGACCGTAGCCGTTTCTGAGTGCTGGGTGTTGTACTGCTGTCTCCCGAAGTCTCTTATACCTCGCAACACACGGGGGAAGCAGAGACTTTTGCTCCCGTTTTACAGGATAAGGTGAAGTTGGAGGGGTGAGGGTATAACAATCCCTATGTGTTGCTAAAGTTCTCTGACGAGAGGCAGAGCCTGGCTGCAAATCTTGGTTTCGCTCACAGCCCAGATCTTGAAGGGTAAATTTTCATTTGATTGTCTTTTCCTCTTATTAAAACATTTTGAGTGGGTGAGACATACACAAACAGGAAGCTTGCAGGAAAAACAGTGTAGCAAGGAGAGGAGAACCACTACTGTGTTGGGTGTGGGTGCTGTGATTGGCACCCCCAGCCCCTGCAGGGCTGGTGCAGGACTTGCTGGGTCAGTGACGGTGGGTGAGATGCCACTGTGGGTGAGGGGCCACGGTGGGAACTGAGGCTTCCTGTCCCTGACAGGAACATGTTGCTGCTCCGGGGGCTACTGGTGCTCAGCTTGTCCTGCCTGCAAGGCCCCTGCTCTGTGGTAAGTTTTCAGTCTGGGTGGGGTGTGGAGGTGGGTGTGGGGGAGGTCAGAGTTTGAGAGGCCAAAAAGGGATTGGAGTCTAAGGAGGGTTTGACTCTTGGAGGGTTGCTCTGTCTCTCCTCATCCCTTTCTCAACAGTTCTCTCCTGTGAATGCCATGGAGCCCTTGAACCAAAAGGTACTGGGGAGTAAAGGAAGTGTGATGGGAGGAAGGTCCCAAAGGTCTCCCTGTGGTTTGTGTAGGTTAGGGAGCCTGTGGGTTACTCTCCATCTGCTTCCTTCTTTCCTCAGCTCATGAACCAGCAGGCCCAGGAGAAGCTGTCCCCACTTACCCTTCTCAAGATGGGCAACCAGGTACAACCAGGTGGGGCTGGGAAAGAGGGGGAGGAAGGAAGAGGGAAGAGGGCGAGCTGGCTTCTACAGAGAGAGGGTGGACGTGGTCAGGGGAAGGGCATCCCAGAGCCCAGAATCCCACTGCCTCCAAGACTGGGACAAAGAATGGAGACTGTGAGGGAGCTCTTCCACCCAGGATCTGGGGCTGGCCCCTTGACCCCACTGACCCTGATCTGTCCTGCAGGAATTTGGAGACAAGGCTACTCTGAAGAGGGCCCCAGAAGACTGCAAGGGCGCCCCCACCCCTGAGCAGAACCACAGGCTGGCCCAGGCCATGATGGCCTTCACCAAAGACCTGTTCTCCCTGGTAGCCCACACATCCACCAGCCCCAACCTCATCTTGTCACCTCTGAGTGTGGCCCTGGCACTGTCTCACCTGGCACTAGGTACTGTGGCCGCACCTGGCCAGATCAGCAGAGCTGGGAGGCCAATAGGAACTCACTACTCCAGAATTTACCAGTGGGTGGCGCCTCCATCAGGTTCACTTAGATGTTTGGTAAAAATGCAGATTCATGGGCCCACCAACAGTCTCTATGAATCAGATTCCCAGGTATTGTGGGGGGGATCTGCTTATGGTGGTTTTTATGAAAGAGCCTGATAGATACAATGTCTCCATTGGACTGGAGGGTCTTATTGTGGGAAACAGGTCCAGAGAGGGAAGACAACTGGTGTGAGGTGAGGTCACCGGACTGTCAATAGCAAAGGTGAATGTACACCTTGGTCACTCAGAGAAGCTCGGTGGCTAGGGGAGGCGTGTGTGTGGTCCCCCGGGCACAGTCACTGTGGGTCTTCAAGAGGGACCGGAGTGGGCAGGGGAGTGGGGGGGGGAGGAAAGGACTCCTGCCCGGACCACAGCTGATGTGGTTCCCTCCAGGTGCTCAGAACCAAACGCTGCAGAAGCTGCAGCAGGTGCTGCATACAGACGCAGGGCCTTGCCTGCCCCACCTGCTGAGCCGCCTCTACCAGGACCTGGGCCCCGGGGCCTTCCGACTGGCTGCCAGAATGTACCTGCAGAAAGGTGGGTGCTGGTGGCAGGAGCGCCTTTGACAGTGCTCTGGGTGGACAGGGTGGAGCGAGATGGGCTTGGCCACAGGTAGCTAGCTGGATCACTGGCAGTGGTGGCTTCTGAACCCCGGAAACAGCTTGTGGTCCCTTCTGTACAGGATTTCCCATCAAAGAAGACTTCCTGGAACAATCAGAAAAACTCTTTGGTGCAAAGCCCATGAGACTAACGGGAAAGAAAGGAGATGACCTGGCGAACATTAACCAGTGGGTGAAAGAGGCCACAAAAGGGAAGATTGAGGATTTCCTCTCGGACCTGCCAGATAACCTAGTGTTGCTTCTCCTCAATGCCATCCATTTCCAGGGTGTGTACCCCTTCTCAGGGTTCCTGCCTGGCCTGCTGGCTGAGCTGGGGTGTGCAGGGGTCCCTCTTCTTCCTCAGGGCTGACCAGGCAGCAGGAAGCACGCTGGGTTGTGGGTGGGGGAGGGAAGGAGACCCACCCCCAGGGATGGGGGGTGGCAGGGAAGGAGCCCACCTCCTTCCCTCCTGCCACCAGGAGCCCCAGGTGGGGCTGTTGGGAAGGAGGACTCTTGGATGAAACCAAATCTGAAGGAGGTTGTTTCTGGGAGCATGGCAGGCATGGAGAGAATACTAGCCCAGAATCCAAGAAAGCTCAGGGAAGAGATGTCAGATTAATTGACTATCAACCTGGTGCAGCAACCCCTGGGGTCTCAGCTTCCATCTTTGTGTCTTGAGTGGGTTCTGGTGGAACAGGGGAGAGGCTGATGATATAGAACCCACCCTGGCCCCAGCCATGTGGCCCCTGCCCTCTGCTGTATACAGGTTTCTGGAGGACCAAATTTGACCCAAGCCTCACCCAGCGGGAAGTTTTCCACCTGGACGAGCAGTTCACAGTGCCGGTGGACATGATGCAAGCCCACACCTACCCTCTGCGTTGGTTCTTGTTGGAGCAGCCTGAGATGCAGGTCACCTTGACTGCCAGGGTCTGGGCGCTGGGAAGGGGCAGGAAGGGGACAGGCTATGGAGCAGGCCTAGGGTAATGGGGAGCCTCCCTTTCCTTCAAGTCATGTCCCTGGGGCAGATGACTCTGAAAGGTCTCACTATGACCTCACCCAGGTGGACTAAGGCTTCAGGCTCTTTGAGAGTCATTTACTTAACAAAAAATATATTGGGCATTTGCTGTGTGCCAGATACTGTTCAAGGTGCTGGAGATATAGTGGTGCTCAGGGGAGAAGAGATCCCTGCTCTCAGGAGGGAGGAAGACACACAAGAGCAAACATAAATTAACACGATAATTTCAGATAGTGGTAAATGCTACAGAGGGGAGAAAAAGATGATGTATTGGTGACTGGGGAGGGTATCTTGGGGAGAATGATCTGGGAGAATTTTTTGAGAAGGGGCACTGAGATGAGATCCAGTTTATCACAAGGACCCCTGGGCTGTGGGGAAACACAGAGACCACCCAGCAGCCAAGGAGACACACGGGACCTGAGCATGCCCCACCCCTCACTCACCCCCCTAATCTGGGAGATCCAACCTGAGCTTTCCCTTCTTTGAAGGGAGGATCTCTTTGTCAGTAAGCTCCTGGAACATTCCGATGGGCTATGCGCTATGTCAAGCTACGGCAGGTGTGGTCTCCTTGCTTCTAGCCTAAGTGTGGTCCCTTTGGCTGGAGCACTGACCCCTCGGCCCGTCAGGGGCAGCAGAGATGGCAGTGTTGGTCAGTTTCACAAGGCCGCACGACACAGACCACAGCGCTCTGCAGTCCTCCAAGCACTTAGAGCAGCGTCCTGGCTTCTCTCCAGTCCACCCTGGAAGAAAGATGGTCAGGAGCCTGGTTCCCCACCCAACAGCTCACTTCCTGCTACTCCTTCCCTCCAGGCCATGTCCTGCCCATTCTTCCTCCCCGTTTGGTTTCCTTTCTTACTCCTCCTTGACTTCCTCTTCTTCAGGCACTCTGCAGGCAGGCAGGCTGAACACAGCCTCTCTGCCTCCCCCTGGCAGGGGTCCTCCTGCCTGCCCAGAGCCTGAGGCAGCACGCTTTCAAGAGATCAGTGAATCCAGAGCTTTCTACTTCTTTAGCTGCAGAAACCCTGATCACAGGAAGTCTGACCCAAATCACAGTCCTGATGCCCAGGGCAAGTCACTGCTCCTTTGAGCAGCTCCTGGAAAAGTTGAGGCCCCAACAACACAGTCCATTGCACACAGGGAGAAACAGGTGAACAGGGGAAATTCCTTACCAGGTCACAGTGCCAGCTGGCAGCTGTGAGTGCCACCTACATGCAGATACTCTGCTAGAAGCTTTAGAGTGTCTCTCTTTTGGTCACATGTCAGCCTGCCATGTGGGTAGGTATTGTCGCTCCCTGTCACGGATGAGGGCAGTCAGACTGGGCAGGTCCCTGAGAAGGGACGAGCCCACCTGCCTCAGAAGCGCACCTGGGCCCAGACTCCACCTAGGTGTGGCTGCCTTCTGGTTCTCATGTTGTCTCCTTCCCTGTCTGTAGGTGGCTCATTTCCCCTTCAAGAACAATATGAGCTTCGTGGTCATTGTGCCCACTCGCTTTGAGTGGAACGTGTCCCAGGTGCTGGCCAACCTCAGCTGGAACATCCTGCACCAGCCCTCGCTGCGGGAGAGGCCCACCAAGGTCCAACTGCCCAAGCTACATCTGAAACACGAGCTGGACTTGGTGGCCACGCTCAGCCAGCTGGGTAAGGAAGCTGGGTATGGGACAGACCCCTGGGTCAGGCTGAACAGCCTGGATTGGGAGGAAGCTCTCGCTGGCAGTGGGTCTCAGTCAGAGCTAGTCTTGTGTCCTTTTGGGGGGCCTAGGGAGGTGTGAGTGTTTGGTGTGAGCTCTGGGAGGCTGTGGTGGCCTGGGGGGTGAGGACCCAGTATACCCAAGACTGAACGTGGCAGAGAATCCTGGTTGGAGAGCCCAGTGTGGCCTGTGAGCCCTGTTGGCTCTCCAGGAAGGGAGAGGTGGAGAAGACTCTGTGTCACCCTGCTAGGGAAGTACCTCCACCCATGAGCATTTGCTAAACAGCTTTCACATTGTAGGCACTGTACTAGACCCTCGGAACCCACCAGGTACAAAGAACTTAGTCTCGTCAGGTGGGCAGAAGAGGAGTCAGGCACTTACAATTCAGCATGAGTGATAAGACAGCATAAATGATAAGGACTCTGGCCTGGTAGTTTTATTTCCAATCCACCAAGAAGAATATTGTAAAGGCACCTGTCCTGCCATGGGGCAAGGGCATCAGGGAAGGCTTCCTGGAGGAAGCAGTCTTTAAACTGATACTTGAAGGTTAAACAGGGGTTAAGTAGGGATCTGTGGGCTCAAAGTGTTCCCTGGCCAGGGAGGCAGCCACCCTCCCAGGCAGGTCCAGGCAGCCTCTTCTCAGGCAGCTCTGACCATCCATTTTCTATCCTGGGCAGGCCTGCAGGACTTGTTCCAAGCCCCAGACTTGCGTGGGATCTCTGACCAGAGCCTTGTGGTGTCGAGTGTGCAGCATCAGTCCACTCTGGTGCTTAGTGAGGCCGGCGTGCAGGCGGCAGCAGCAACCAGCACGGCCATGTCCCGCATGTCCCTCTCCTCATTCATCATAAACCGCCCCTTCCTCTTCCTCATCCTTGAAGACACTAGGAGCATACCTCTCTTTGTGGGCATCGTGAGGAACCCCAATCCTGGCGCGCAGTGGGAGCGAAAGGAGCAGCAAGATTCCCCTGGCAGCAGGGACTCCTTCCAGAACAAGAAAGTCTTCTCCAGAGGAAACAAGCAATTTGGCCCAGACTTGAAACTTGCACCCCCTTCAGAAGAGTATTATCCTCAAACTAGTAGCCCCAAGTGAGGGGCAGTGGTCAAGAACGTCCTGACTCCCTGCCTGGACAATCTCTCAACTCATGTGACTCTTTCCAAACAGCTTCATAGGATTAAGGGGGAAGGGGGGATCTTGGTGGACAGGTGGGGAGAAGAGGGTGACAGTTCTCTCAGACTCGTTTTGGGGAGTTGGGGTGGGGTGGGGCCAGGAAGTGGACAGGCATCAAGGAATGGAGTGCCTTCCAAAGGGGCTCAGAGGGTCCCGCTGTTTGGGGCTTGGGCAGAGGGGCAGCTATGAATCCACTTCTTTCAGGAAGGTAGGTAGATTATTTCCTAAATTGGCTGGAGCACCTCCATGTTTGTTTACCAGAGCGGGAGGGGCAGGAGGGATTGTATACTCTGGTTGGGGAAAGGAAACAGTTCTGGGGGTGCCCCAGGGGGTAGAGGAATGTCCTGGATCAGACACCACGGGTCACCTTTGCTCTGTGGGGGGAGGTTCCAGATTCCCTTGCCTCTACCATTACCACCAGCCTCCAGTGCCCTCTGATGTCCTTTCTTCTCAGTTCCCTGCCAGTTCCTGGAGATACCACTGCCAGGATCCCCCTTCCTTCCTCTCCTCTCTCCCTCCTCTGCCTGCCATCTCAGGAGCTGAGGGCAGGAAGGGCTCCTTTGCTCCCTAAGGCTCTTTTGTAAAGTTTTTGTAGTGATTTTTATGCTACCTGAATAAAGAATGAATGGGCCTGGCTGCTTTGACATCGCTGTTCTGGGCAGGGGTGGGAGTAGCAGGGCTGGAGAAAGGTGGGAGGCCACAGAGCGCCCCCTGCACTGAGAACCTGGGCCCCAAGGAGTGGCAACAACCTCCTCTGTGCCACATTTGGTCCCTGGTCACTTGCCAGTCCCCTCCACCACGCAGTTGCACCCCTCTGACCTGGCCAGTCTTCTCCAGGGCCACCTCCACGTCAGCCTGGCTCCCCTCTACATGCCTCAGGCAGCTGGCAACCAGGGCAGCTTAGAATAGCGCCAGCCTCCTGGTTTGGGAGAAGAACTGGCAATTAGGGAGCTTGTAGTTTCTAATTACATGCCGGCCCTTCTGCCAGGAGCTGGCGCCTGCCAGCCGGGGGGCAGGCTGCTGGGAGCACCTGAGGATTTAGGGGAAACAGTTGGGGACACCGTGGCATGGGGAGAGGGGCAGCATGGGTGTCCATGTGGGTGGGCCCTTGTCTGTAAGGTCTGGGAGTCCATGTGGCAGCCACCTGCTGCCTTGAAGTACAGGGGCTAAGACCCAGTGCCTGGGGTGAATCTTGTCTCTTACAAACTAGCAGTGGGGGGAGACAGTTAATAAATGAATGAGTGAAGTAGATGACATGTCAGAGGGAGACATGAGCTCTGGTGAGGAATGAATTAGAGGAGCACAGGGCATGCTGGGACCTGGGGCCTCCCTGGGAAGGTGACCCTGGAGCAATAACCTGAAGGTAGGATGAGCACCATGGGAGTCTCGGGGAACAGCATCCTGGGCAGAGGAATAGCAAGGGCACAGGAACTGAGGACGAGGCGTGCTGGAAAGTGCAGGATGAGCTGGGTCTGTAGGGCAGTGACGGGGCTGGGGTAGGAAGATGCCAGAGAGGAACTGGGGATGGTAGGGCTTCTGGGCCACTCTAAAGACACTGGTTTTTATATTAAAGAGGTAAGGCGTGCCTGGAAAGCTCCATCAGCAAGCCCAACCAGACTTTTACCTCCCAATTCCTTCTCAGCTCAGCTCTCTCCTCTGCATTTTGGTTCCCATTGCCCTGGTGGGGGCTAGTCATCACTCCTACCCTCGAGTCCCACCCTCCAGCCATGATCTGGATGTCTTAACTTCAGCCTCACCCTGCAAATGCAAGGGATGGAGCGCCCTGCTGAGCCAGCAGCACAGGAAGCTCTGGGTGCAGCACTGGACAAGCTTACAAGAGCCCTAACCTGGTGCTGATGCTCTAGACGATAAGCAAGTACATTGAAATGTCAGGTTCAGTAAACAGTGAGTGTTTCCAAGAAGGTTCTGGGGTTGGGTGACACCGACTAACTGCCTAACTGAGGAAGGCAGCTTGTGGATCAGGCCCCTCCAAGGTGACAGTGGAGCTGAGAGATGGGAGCTAAGGGACAGACTGTTCTTGTCAAAGTGAGAGGAGTGCTCAGAAAGAGGGAACAGCCAGGGCAAAGACCCTGAGGCAGAAAAAAGTGTGGGTCTTAGCAGCAACAGAAGGGAAGCCAGTGTGGCTCAGTGTGACCAGCAGAGGGACAACGGGAAGATGAAGACGTAGAGGTAGGCGGGGCCGGGCACACGGGCCTTGAAGGTGAGAGCAAGAGGTTTGGACATACAAGTGTAAAGGGACTTGTGTGTAAACATGTGTAAGATTTATTTATTTACACTTACAAGAGCTGGGGTACAGGCCAGAGACGTGGGGGTGTGAGAGGATTCTCCAGAGACACAGTGGGGAGCAGAACAGGCAGATGTACTGAAATACACTGCTGAGGGGAGCAGTGGGCAGTACAGGGAGGTTTGCTGCGCCATGAGGGTCACCTCCCTGCCCGGGAACGAACTCAGGCTACAGTGGCTGTGGATTGCTTCACCTTCAAGGCCTGAGTGTGCCCGGCCCCGCCTACCTCTACGTCTTCATCTTCCCGTTGTCCCTCTGCTGGTCACACTGAGCCACACTGGCTTCCCTTCTGTTGCTGCTAAGACACACACTTTTTTCTGCCTCAGGGTCTTAACCACTTGCGCCACCAGGGAGTCCCTATCTAAATGTTTTTTGATTGAAATAGAAAAAAGCATATATAAGCTTCATGATTTTTCCCCCATGAACCAAATATTCCTATGCAACCAGCACCCAGATCAAGAAACAGTGCTCCTCTGACTTGCAACTGCAGATTTATTTCTCCTGACCTTGAACTTTACGTAAGAGTCATACAGGCCATACTCTGGGGTGGGGTGGGGGGGTCTGGATTCTTTTGTTGCCACATGCTTATCGGATTGGTCTGGGTACTGTGGCAGGCCATGACTCATTCCCGGGAAGGCTTTTATGGGAGGGGTGCCATGTAGGCTTAAAGAGATGCACTAGGTTTCCCGGGCGAAGGCGGGTAGGGAGCTAGGGAGGCTGGTTAGCAGGCGACAGATGAAGGCGGCTTGGTCCAGGGTGCTGACTGTAAAAATGGGATATAAGTGGTCAGAATTCAGATCTATTTTGCAGGTAGACATTATAGAATTTGTAGGTGATACAGGAAATGAAGGGAAAGGAAGACTCAGGATGGCGAAGTTCATCATTTAACTTCCTAGCCCTTTGTTTTGAGAAATGGGTCTTACTGAGATGGGGATCAGTGTGAGAAGTCTTTAGGAGTGACTGGAGGCTTCTCGTTTGAAGTTATTATGATTGAAATGCCACCCTGGCTAGGGTGACCATGTGTCCCCCTCTGCCTGGATGATTTCAGTTATCCTATGGTTCCAGTGTAATTAATAGCACCCTGTTTACTGTGAGGAGTGCATAGATGATAAACTGTATGTTCACCCTACCCAACGGGCAGCTATGTGAAGCGGGCAACTGGACACTTTGGTTATCTAAGAGGAGATAAAGATGGAGAGGAAAAGGAGTCCCAGGGCCAAGCCAGCCAAGGAGACAGAAAATGTGCAGCCTGAGAGGTGGGAGAAAAATGGAAGGACGTGGGAGGTCAGGATTTCAGGACAGAGGAATGATGATCTGCCACTCTGGCTGAAGCGAAGGGCAGAGATGCCTGATGGTCAACACAGAGGTCACCCATGAGCTGGGCTACAGCAGTTTCAAAGGAAAGTTGGACACAGAAACAAGACTGGGGTAGAGGAGGGAATGTGACCGCAACAGAGTGCAGAGACAAGAGGAAATGACTTTTCAGTGTGGCTTCGAGGGAGAACTGAGAAATGGGCAGTGGCTTAGGGGTGGGCCAAAATGAAAGCATCTTTGTTTTTTTATTTGAAGTATAATTTCCACTTACTGGAAATATTTTTTTTAAAGATTTTATTTATTTATAAATAGAAGAACTGGGGTCTAGGTCATAGGTGGGAGAGAGTGAGAGGATTCACCAGAGACAGAGTGGGGAGCAGAACAGGCAGATCCACCGGCATACACTGCTGAGGGGAGCAGCTGGTGAGACAACAGGGGTCTGCTGGGCCCTGTGGGTCAGCTCCCTGACCAGGCATCCAACTTGTACTGCTGTAGCTGAGGAGAGCTTCATAGTGCTGAGACTCAACCCCTTGCACCACCAGGGAGGCCCTTGATTGGAAATATCTTTAAAGAAGAAACAACAATGATGTTTGGAGGTGGCGGCGTGATCTTCAGAGAGGGACAGCTGTGTGCAGAGAGCGGCTATGTCGCAGGAGCAAACCCACTGAAAAGCACACGGGCTGGCTCTCTCCTTGGGCAGGAGCAGGACACTGTTTTCCTGGCAATCAAAGGCATGAAGAATCCTTCTCATTTATTAGGAAATAATTAGGACATTGGTCTAACTAGACCAAAGTATAAACCCTGAAACAAGAAAAGTATCTTCAATAAAGTTGGACTGCTACATGCAAAAGAATGAAACTAGACCATCACCTCATATCATACACAGAAATCAATTCAAGATGGGTAAAAAGACTTGGATGGATGTAAGACCTGAAACCGTAAAATACTTAGAGGCGAACATAGGTGAAATAATCCATGACATAAAACCTCAGAAACATATTTGCAGACTCATCTTCAGCAGCAAAGACAGTAAAGGAGAAAATAACCACCACTGGCACTATGTCAAGCTAAAAAGCTTCCATACTGCAAAAGAGACAGTGACCAAAGCAAAGAGACCCCCTAGTGAATGGGAGGAAAATATTTACATTACATTTAGTAATTTTTTTGTCAGTTAGCTCTGTTACAAATATTTTCTCCCAGTGTGAGGCTTGTATTTTAATTTTGTTTTACAGTACCTTTTCATGAAAACAGTCCTTAATTTTAGTACAAAACTTATTAACCTTTTATAATTTGTGCTGCTTTTGGCATCTTGCTAAAAAAATCTTTCTTAGTGAGACATTACAAAAGAACTCATCTGTATTTTCCTCTAAAGCATTCACAAATTTTCCTGTGTATATGTGTTTGCATTTGCTTTTCAAAGCATAAAAATATCTCTGAAAGTATACACAGGAAGGAGATTAACATCTGCTGTCTCCAGGGAGTGGAGTCTGTGACTGGAGATCAGAGTGAGAAGAAGAATTTTCGTCTGCCTTTTGTTGCTTTTGCATTTTTAAAAAGATTTACTTATGCACACAAGAACTGGGGTATAGCTCAGAAGTGTAGGGAGTGAGAGGATTCACCAGAGACAGATTGGGGAACAGGGCAGGCAGATGGACCGAAATACACTGCAGAGGGGAGCAGTGGGTTAGCCGGTAGAGGACTGCTGCGCCGTGTATGTCAGCTCCCTGACCAGGATTGAACTTGTGCACAGTGGATGGAGAGAGCTTCCTAGGGATCCTCCCTGGTGGCACAATGGGTTAAAGCACAGCACTGCAAACTAGCCACAGCCACTTCAATGCGAGTTCAATCCCAGCCCTGGAGGTGACTCCCATGGTGAGGCAGACCTCTCCTGACCTGCCCACTGCTCCCCACTCTGCCTCTGGTGAATCCTCTCACTGTCCCTGCACCTCTGGCCTATACCCCAGTTCTGTATGCATAATTTAATAAAATTTTTTAAAATTAAAAAAATATTCTGCAGAAAGACAGAAATTGTTTTCCATATTTAAATTTCCAAGGTACCTAGAATTAATTATTGTGTATGGTATGAGATAGGGATAAAATTTTAACTTGTCCACATGGATAGTTGGGCCCTTCCTACCTTTCTGTGCTTAATCTTAGCTCATTTTACTTGCCCTTTTAAGTCTCAGCTTAGAGTCAGATAGTTTAACTATGCTGCAAAGTCCATGAAAAATAGAATGTGAATCACATATATGACTTTATAGCAGCACATTAAAAATAGGTGAAATTAATCTTACTATCTTTTATTGAGCTCTATATGCAGTGTTCAAAATCTGGCATGAACTTTACCCTTAGATCAGGTCACAGTTCAAACGAACCATATGTCAAGTGCTGCAGTGCTATCTGTGACTTGGCCAATGCAGCGATAGGACTGCAGTCTAGGCTGTCCCACCCTGTCTTGGACATGTTGTTCTCATATTAGCCCGTATGTTTTCTGTTCTGGGAGGACACGATTCTAACTCATCCATGTATGCCTTTCCCTCCACGTACCTAGCCAGTGCTTTGCATAGGGGTATATGATTTTTTTTGTTGAAGGATTAAACTCTATCTGTTGACACACTTTCCATACAGAGCTGAAGCTTGCTCACCAGAAAGTTCTATACAAGGCCCCTCCCTCTGCTTCCTGGAGTCTCAGGTGAAGTGGGGTTCCCCTAAGTGTTCTTTTCTTTTTTATAAAGATTTATGTATTCATGCATACAGAACTGGGGTACAAGCCAGAGGTGCATGGGCGGTGAGAGGCTTCACCAGAGACAGAGTGGGGAGCAGAACAGGCAGA